AATTTCCATTAAAAGACGATCATCATCAGATGATGATGATGATGGTGGTGGTAGTGATCATCATGAACATCGAAAACGACAACGACGATTAATCTTCTTCTCCACAAAGACCGTTTGGTAAACATATCAATGAAAATGATGATGAGGGGGTGGCAGTAACGGATAAAGGATACGAAAAATGTTTTTCTAGTTTTTTCTTTAAGTACAAAGTTTCTTGCCAATTAGTTTAGACAACAAAAAACCGTTGTAACCACGTGCCACTGTGTCATCTTCATTATCATCATCAGCAGCAGCAGACTGTTTTTGTGCACTTTAACACGCCGCTTACCGGCTTGTTTGCACCACTACTAGACAGGCAGCACATAATAATAATAACATAACACATTAACATCATAATCATCTCACTTCATTGACGGCCGCGACAGCAGCAACAACAGTTCAAAAAAGTCTCCCTCTTTTGCATGCAAAAATTATGCAAACATAAACAAAAAAGAAACAGGGAAACAGCTCGTCCTAATAGCACACAGTAGCGCCGACAGCTGTGAAATCCGAGACTAATTTGCACATATGCATTTTTGTCTCGCTTACACACACACACACACACACACACACACACAATAGGTGTAAGACACACAAAAGCACACAGGTAAATTAAATCTTCACTCTGAAAACGCGTCTGAAAAGTGAAGCTAATCAAGGTCACACTGCTACCTGACTACCTGCCTTAATTTTCACTCCTGATTTTCAGTTTAAAGCTCAAAACCAACCAGAAAAATACGCAAAAAACAACCGAGGTAATGTACAGAAATTAGTTTAATATATAGATCATCAAATAGTCACAGTACAGAGAGAAAATAAAAGGAAAAAGTAAATAAATTAAGCAAAAGAATAAAGTTATGTGTGTGTGAAGAAGTTTGCTGAAGTGTGTGTTTGTGTGAAATGGGTGTGATTTGTGGAAATGCGGTGAAATGGAATGAAATTGTGTGTTGACGCCGTCAAATGGTGAAAAAAAGTTTGAAGGAATGCAAAGAGGAGAAGAGGAGAAAGAAGGATGACAAGTAAAGTATAGAGGATTTTCAGTCGTTTGTGACAGTCATTGGAGTCATCAGACTCTGCAGGGTCAAAACAACACTCAGTTTTTAAGTCGGAATGTTTAAAATGAACTGACATCGTGTTTGCGTTTTTGTAATCGTTTGCAAACTTATTTGGAGTGACTTCAATCTCATCCAAAGTTTTAATAGTGTGTTTTTGTGGCCTGATAGTGGAAATAAAATGAAATAGGAAAAGAAGGATTTAGAGCAGAGAGGATAGAGGACTGGAAAGTGTTAGACGCCGAATCGAATTAAAGTACAATCGTAGTAACAAAATCATAGATAATAAGCAAAGTATTTAACAAGGTACTAGAAAAAAGTGTGTTTGTGTTGCTGATAGGGGACAAGTGGGGGAGTTTGCAAAAATGTTTGTGTGTGTGTGTGGGCATTTGCACATTGAGAGCCAGGATTCGATTCAAAGTCTCGAGGATTCGAAAGAGAAAGAAAAGACAAAAAACATCATCTGGATACATACAAGAGGAGGAGGAAGAAGAGGTGGAGGAAAAGAAAGAAAAGGATGAGGGCGATGATAATGAAAAGTGGTGATAATGAGATGACCAAGTGTGATAAAAGGGAGGGAAGGGAAAAAAGAAGAAGAGGAAGAGGAGAAAGGTGCTGCTACAACTACGAGGCCGCTACCAAAAAAGTCTGAGAGTATCTACTTTGAGCATGTATAATTTGTGTATCTTGCTCAGTACTTCCTCTTTAAGTAAGAGAAAACGAATGAAAGAAAGAAAAAGAGAGTGAGGGTGTGAAAGCGAGCAAACAGAGTGAGATCATAGCCGACCAAGTAAAGGTGAGAAAGGGAAAGAGAAGGAAAAGAAGAGAGAAAGAATCGTAGTGGTGGTGGTGGTGGTGAAGGTCATCATGATCATGAGAGTGCTAGTGGTGATGGTGCTGAGAAGGATGAAGAAGATGAAGATGATGAGAATGAGGATGTTGGTGGAAAAAACTGTTTAGCAAGGTTTGAAAATGAGCAGAAAAAGATAATGAAAAACTGGACTGTTTGTTCATTGTTGAATTGCACTCTTCCTCAGTGTGTGTGTGTGTATGTACAAGTTTGAACTGTTTGTTTATACAATTTCAACCAAAAAAATGGGACGTAAAGAGGGCAGAATAATTTGTCCGTGTTTTTTGGCTGACGTTGAGATGCAGTTGTACGGCATTTTTGGAATGCTTGTTTTTCCTTCCAGGGAAAAAATTTGAAATGCAATGGTAAACTGTTCGTTTGGTAGAATGCAGGTTTGTGATAGTGAAAAGTGAAAAAAGTAATTGTAGTTTGATTTGGGATGATTTGCAAGATTCGGCACCGGGAAAAAGACAAAAGGAGAGAGAGGACTCATACGTATACAGTCTTTAAAAATGGTATTTGTACTTTGTGGTCAGAGGATGCTCAAAACAATTCAAACATCATTGTGTGTTTCGTTTGAAGTGTTAAAAATAGACATTGTAATTTAAAGTGCGTGTATGTGTGTGTGTGTAACGGGCAACCAAGTTGAGCTTTGAAATTGAAGTGTTTGTGTGTGTGACAGAAAAAAGATGAAAAATTGTGTTGAGAGGTTGGGCACTTTGGGAAGTGTAAGTCTGTGTGTGTGTGTGTGACAAGGAACTTTGAGTGAAATCGGTTGACACTGGAGTGAAGACGAGTAAAAGCCCAAAGTGGAGGCGAACAGTTTTAGGACAAGTATATCAGTCGAAATCCGTTTGTTTGTTTGTTTTGCAGCCGAACGAAAAAAAGAGTGGAAAAAGAGAGAATAGGAACTTTGTTCGAGTCGGTGTGAAAAGTGGGATGAAATGATGAAGATGAGAATGGAAAATGAAGATAAAAAATGAAGAACATGATGATGATGATGATGATGATGATAGTAACGATGATGGTCATGAGTACTACCAGTAAAAGTGAGACGAAACTGGCGGTGTACTTGAGGAGGAGGAGGAGGACAAGGAGTTTGGAGCACTGGAGGTGGTGATGGCCGTGGCTGCAGCGGCAGCAGCCGCCGCCGCCGCCGCTGCTGCTGCCATAAAGTATGAGGGCGTCGCCGAAGAAGATGAGGGTGATGAAGGTGTGGCCAGGTGTGGTGGCCTACCAAACTGAAGTTGATCACCCCTTTCACCACCACCACCACCACCACCACCACCACCACTACCCTCAATGCCCCCTCCAAAGTAGCTTGAAAGAGAGTTTGTGTTTGAGTAAACTCCCGTTGAAGGTGGCGGTGGCGGCGGCGGAGGCGGAAGTGAAAACGCTGGTGGCAAAAACGGCAGCATTGAACAGCCAAACGATTGTTGCTGTTGTTGTTGACTGCGCTCAGCTTTAATCCTCAGCTGCTGCTCTTCAGTGGCACCAGTTGTTTGCTCGCTTTCATCCTCTTCAAAACTTTCCACCTGATCTTTGCTGCCTCGTCTGCGGTTAGGTTTGCTCTGTCGACTCGCCGGTTTGCTGTTCCGCTGTTGTTTGCCCTTTTTGCTCTTTTTACCGCGGTTTGAGGCAGTAGTTTTACGTCGTTCTCTTTCTCCCTCTGAGTCATCATTGCCATCGGAGTTTTTAGTCTCTTCTGGTGATAGGCGGCGGTTTTGAGCGTTGATCTCTGACGACTCGTCTGCTGGCCTCGATTTGAATGAAACTTCAGAAGGTGATTCATGATTTGTTGGGGAGGACATTGTTGAGGAGATGGGCGGACTCATCGAGGTGAGGACATTGGCGAGGTGGTGATGGGGGTGAGGTTGAAAAAGGTTCATCGTTGAGGAATGGTTGGGACCACTGCCTCCAAAGGAAGCGTAAGGTGATGATCCATAAACTCCTTCTCCTCCTCCGCCTCTTCCAAACGTACTACCAGGCAGCTTAAACCCCTGGGCGATGTTCGGCTGTTGATGCTCCAATGGGCTCATATTGCTCATACTCGACCCAAAGGACTCATCAAAGGGATTCATGGCACTGCCCAGGTAGCGGACAGTGTACGGATGTGGAGGCGGATAAGTGCCGGCGGCGGCGGTGGTTGATTGATAAGCTGCGGCGGCTGCTGCAGCTGCTGCCGCCGCCGCTGCGGCAGCGTTTCTTGATGCAAGGTCAAAAGGATGGTGGTACTTTGAAGAGGAAAGGTGGTGGTAAGGATAATTTCCATTACCACCACCTCCACCACCACCGTACATCAACGTCAGATTATCCTCAGTGGTTGGGAGTGGCTGGTGCGGGGTTCCACTTTCAATTTTTGATTCGGTATTGGGCGGTGATTTAGAGGAGTTTGCGGCAGCGCCGACGGCTAGATTGCAGCGATCCAGATTGCCTGGATCACTATTATCATCATCATCATCATCATCAGCATCACCAGGTTTGACTTGGCTATCAGAAGAAGGAGAAACAACAGCAGCAGAAGCACTGGTTGCTTTATTTTCAGCGAAGGGCGACCTTTCATCGCCTAGTTGTTGATTTTGCTGTCTAATTTCAGAGTGTTCTTTTTTAAAAACACTTTCCAAAGTTGGAGATGAAACAGAAATGGTGAGCGTAGAGGTGCTGGTAGTGGTGACTGTCAAGGAGGGTGAAATAGACGCTGTAGTCTTGGTAGTGGCAGTCGAAGATGGGGGAGAGGCATTGGAGGGTGATGACCGGTAGGAGAGGTACTCGCCCAGCTTGCTCTGCTGTTGCTGCTGCTCTCCAGTGCCGTACAGCTCCTCCTTCATCTCCTCACCATCATGCACCTCATCCTCATCCTCATCATCATCTTCTACAGCAGAACTTTGCCGTTGTAGAAACTGCTGCTGCTGCTGTTGCTGCTGATGAAAGTACTCCTGTTGTTGTTGCTGCTGCTGATAATGATAATGAGCTCCCTGCTGCTGCTGCTGCTGCTGCTGATAAGCCAGTTGCTGCTGCTGATGATGACTGGCTGCTGAGCCGTCGAGCGCCGCCGCTAGTCAGTGTGCCGCCAGTGAGGGATGCATGCCCGGCGGGGGAGGGCCGTTCATGGGGTTACCGCCACCGCCTCCTCCATTTCCGCCGCCCCCATTTCCGCCCATCATGTGTCCCTGCGGAGAGTACGGCGGCGAGTGCTGCCCTCCATGCCCTCCGCCCATGTGGTGAAAGAGGGGCGGACTGCCGGAGTGCATGCCATCGTCAGGCGGCGGGCTCATCATCATCGCTGAGGTGGGCGTGCCCACGCCGTCCATGCCCTGTCCGGTGGGCGGCGTCATGCGCTTCTCCTTCTGCCGACGGTTGCAGAACCACACCCGCACCACCTCCTTCTCCAGCTGCAGGTGCTCCGCCAGCGAGCTGATCTCCTGCGCCGACGGCTTTGGCTGCTTGTGAAAGTGCGTCTCCAGGGCGCCTTTCACCGACACCTCGATGCTGGTCCGCTTCTTCCGCTTTCGCCCCTGGGCGGCGATTTTGTCGATGCTGGTCGGCGAGCCGGTGGTCGAATCGGCCTCCTCCAGCCACTTGGCGAGCAGCGGCTTCAGCTTGCACATGTTCTTGAAGCTAAGCTGCAGCGCCTCGAAGCGGCAAATGGTCGTCTGGGAGAAGACGTTTCCGTAGAGGGTGCCCAGGGCGAGGCCGACGTCGGCCTGCGTGAAGCCGAGCTTAATGCGGCGCTGCTTGAACTGCTTCGCAAACTGCTCCAGGTCGTCCGAGCTGGGCGTCTCCTCCTCGCCGGCCGACTCGGTGCCGGTGACGCTGCCCGCCGAGTGGTGAAGTCCTCCTCGGGAGCTGAGACCGCCTGAATCGGAGCCGCCGCCGCCGCTGCCATTTCCGCCTCCTCCTCCCAGTCCTCCCAGTCCTCCGCCCAGCAGACTGCCCATTGTGGAGAGTGACCGATCGTCCAGTCGGGCGGCCAGTTCATTCTGCATCGACAGCGAGGTGAGCTCCGCCGAGGAGAGGCCGTGATGAGGGTGCATTCCTCCCAGGCCTCCACCTCCATTACCTCCTCCTCCTCCGCCTCCTCCTCCCCGCATGCCCGGATGCACCGCATGAGGGTGCTGATGAGGGTGAGGGTGATGGTGGTGGTGGTGGTGCTGCTGCATCGACGCCAGCATCCCGTTCATGCTGGAGGCGTAGCTGGACATGCTGCTCGCCGCGGAGTGCTGGTGCAGCGGACTGCCGCCGTTGCTGTGCGGCTGCAGCCCCGGCGGCATGCCCGGCGGCGGCGGCGGCGGCGTGCCCGGGTGCATGTGACCCGCCATGTGGTGCGCCGGGTGGTGCGGGCCGTGCGGGTGATGCGGGTGGTGCGCCTGACTGAAGGGGCTCACGCCCATGGGGTGCCAGGGCGTGCCGGGGCCGCCCATGCTGCGCGCGTGCATGTGCTGCGCGGCGGCGGCCGCAGCCGCCGCTGCCGCCTGTATCGACGCCAGCTGGTCGTTTCCGCCGCCGCCGTTCTGACCGTTCTGACCGTTGCCGTTGCCGTTTTTGTTGCCGCCATTGTTTCCACCACCACCACCACCGCCACCACCTCCTCCTCCTCCGCTGAGGTCCATGTGGTGTTGGTGGTGCATACCGTGGGCCATAGCCATGCCCTGCGCCCAGGGATTGGCGGCCATTTGCATGTCCGCGGCGGCTGCTGCGGCTGCAGCTGCCGCCGCC